AACTACCATCAACTCCACTGGATTAGTGCCAGTAGGTAGAGAATTAATATAATCTACATTATAATGGTGCTTTGCCTATTTCGAATACAGAGCCGATTCATATATTAAGTCTAGTTCTGATGGAGACGGTTTCAATAAAAAAAACACATGAATTATTCCTCTCTCTGGTTTCGATTATCCACCATTAAGATAATAAAAGCTAAAATCTATGCATTTCTTTGTATAGCCTTTTGTTTATTAGAAAAATAATACAGCATTAGATATCGAACTAAATCGATATGCTTCTTCGCCTTTTATTTTAATTCATAAAGCATAACTCAGAACTTACGATTAAAAATCTGATATAGTTTTAATACATTTCACATAAAGAATTGTCGCTTCTGACTTATCTTGATAACGTATCAATAATCTTCAAAATTTGTTTACTAAGAAATTTCTTTTTCTACTAATATACTTCAAAAAAGTTCTTAAAAACTAATTTTTTCATTCTTATTTGAATTAGTAAATCAGACATTGTTTTCCGTTGATGTAGAAAATTAAATTCGTATCTTAAAAACGAATATAATCCGAATTAAATTTTCTAGTGAGACAAGGCTTATAAATAACATTTGTTTCGTAGTAGACGTCGTCACAAGTGAGATTTTTTTTTCGCCTTGTTCAGAAAATGACTTACAAAATTCTTTGTTGCCCTATGATAGTCTCTTTTACACAGTAAAGATTGTTTTTATTGCATCATTATCAAAGTAAACAATATAATAAAATCTTTTATTTAAAAAAATAAAAATGAACAAGAATTTTCTCAGAGGATCAATTGATTTCGCATTGGCGAATCAATGGACCGATCATCTGTTTTGTCTTTCTTTCATTCATTTGAACAAAAATAAACAGCAAAGAATATTATCCTTCTTCTACCTATATGTTATTTTTTTTGTTTGAATTATACAATAAATTCTTCGAATGTTTATGAAAACATATTTTCAAAAATTTCGAATACATCGAAACAAAAAGTATATCTTAATAAATATTATGTTTAGAACAGAATTTCACCGTAAAATTTTGCTCAGAGTTAAAAAATCACTAGATCCGTCTATAGATAATGACTTAAGATTATTAAATAGTGGTATGATCTAACTGTTATTTTAAGATAAATTACATAACAAATGAATAAATCAACAAACATTGAATTTATTTCATAATGTGACTTTTATTATATATACTTGTTTTTTTCGTTTTATTTTAGATTTTTATCATGAGTAATACTGATTCATTTGCCATTGGTAAGTAATTAATACACATCAGATAAATTCAGAGTTGCAACCGCACTAGTTGGACCAACTGATTTTTACGAATTTGAAAAAATTGTCTAATCATGACGATCCTCTTCCTAATAAAACGTCTTTAAAGCAGGTTTCAGTGTTTTTATTAGAATAAACAGCAATGTTGTTTCATAATATCGAATTTCCTTATACATGAACTAGACCTCTTCAATTAATACACTGACGTTTTATCAGAGATCAGAGTTAAGTTAGATTTTTATATTCATAGTAAAAAACCAATCTGTTCTGATGTAGAATACGAGCCGAAAAAATTATTAATTAAAATTTTCGGGTCAGCTTTCACGAATATGACTTAAAATTTGATATTTATGAACTTCTTTTTTTTTTCAGTACATTTTCCTCAAAACCCAAAGATAACAGCTGAAGATATGCTTGATATTGAATTTAATGCAACAACAACAAGTATAAAAACAGCTGATTTAACGTATGAAGGACATGCAACAAAATCATCTGATTTGTGTGGTATTCTTGGTTTTGTTGATGATCAAGGTCATATACATCTTTCATCAAATTTTGATTTATTTACAATGCGTCCAAAATTAACTGATTTTAATATAACATTAGAACAAAATTTAAATAATGAAGATAATAAACTTAGTGTAAGAAAAAAATAGATTTTTTTTTCGCATAAAAAATTTGTGTTTTTGTTTTTAGAGAACTGATCTTGATGAAAAATTTGGAACAGAAAAAAAACGTCGTTCTGTACATTCAAAAAAACGTAATACAATAGAAGTCAATGTTCTTGAAACAGCTGTATCAGCTGCACGTGAACAAGTACTTCATACAAATACTGAACAATTAGATGAAACTATAATTAATAATAACATAAGTTCATTCAATGATGATGAACAAATCGCAATACCAAAACCAAATTATGATGCACAAAAACCAGAAGATGTTTTTGTTTTTGACGATAGTTTGTATCGAAAATATTACTTTTAGAGCATAGAAAAAGATAGTGATAGAGATATTTTAATTCTTTATAAAAGTTTTAAAGAAAATTTCTGTCAATACTAACTGGCTGATATATATTAGGATAAGGAAAAAAGCGATGGCGGTAGAAGTACAGAAAGAAGTTGATTGAGTTTGTATTTAAGTAGTTTTGTTGCATTGTGCTGTAAACAATGTCAATCGAACATTTAATGAAAAAAAAGACATCATGAATTAGTTTTTGTGGTTGCTTTTTTGTTCTATGGACGATCTACTTTTCCAATACATCTCTAATTGACAATTACGATAGATTGCTCCATTTTATTTGTTTTCGATTTGGGATCATATCGATTTTAGTCGATTTTAAATTCGACCCTGATTAATGTCCGCGCCAGAATAAAAGAGGGGTGAGTGTAAGCTCAATAACTCGACAACCGCAATACCTAGCTACCTGCGGTTTTCACCAATCGAAAGAGGAGGGGCGG